AATATAAAACAGTCTATAATTGCTTGGACTTAGGAAGAAGAAGTTAATTGGCTTTTCAAACCCTGGCCATTGAGAGCTGTGTCATATGTGAGAGCATTCCCAATTGCCAGAAAATAACAGGTTCTGGATAGATTTTTCTTAGGTATGTATCTGTATATAATACACCTAAATGCGCTATCCTCATACTTGACTATGAATTGTTAGATTTTTTGCTCAAAAAGGACAATAAAATGACTGCTAAATTATTAAACTGATGCTTCTGCCATTCCTGTACCTGATTCAGGAGTATTGGGATCTGCTCAGTTGCTAATGAAGCGAAATTAATTTCAAAGTCAGCCCTAGATTAGTTCTGTACAAGGTTTGTTTCCAAACCATGCAATTTGGCTTGGCATTCATATGTTAATATCAAGGTAAGGGGGTATTTTACCATGAACCTTGGTTACGCTTTTGAAGACTTATGCAAGTAAGTCTTTTACACAGCGGAGCAAAAGGAGAATTTTCTTCCACTGTATTTTCTTCTTACACATCTGATTTATTCTGCCCCAAATGACAATGCTTTTGACCTCCTCAAGATTTGTATGTTATGTTGTAAGCACTGATAGATTACAGTAGGTTTCAAAACTTTCCGTCTTTTATTCTGAGTCTGTGAACCCTGAGCTACTGAATAACAGATCGGTAATCAGAACAGGAAAAATGGAAAAAGGTGAAATAACCTATTAACAATGTGCTCTCAAATTAGTCCTGCAAACCAGTTAAGTAAAGAAAAAGCAGTTAATTTACCCAGAGTTCTTATTTTTCTTGAAGTCCTGCTCAGTAAGAAAGGCTAGAAACACTGGTGGGATTGGAGCAGGGGGAAGAATGTGGCTGGTGGGGACCCACCCAAGAGAGAAGACAAGATGTTATAGGAGGACGTGCAGGGGCTGCCTGAAGAATGGTCACACAGAAGTTTCATGTAAATCTTTCTGGCTTTTCTGCAATGTTTATGTTTGCTGAGAAGTTGAGCATGTAGCCTGCTCTTTTGCCAGGCATCTAACCCAGCAAGGCTGCTGCAGTTTGCCCTGAGCTGAGCCGAGCCAAAATGGGCTCTGCAATGCGTGCAGTCTGAGGGAGAGGTGCCAGCCTCCGCACCACAATCATATCTCCAGTACGGAAACACAAATGGCTTTCCCTGCTTAGCTTCTCCATTTATTTTGAGTCTGTTCTTATGATTTAAATAGCTATGGCTCTGGGGGAGACATTACTCCTGAGTGCAAAACAGAATAATGGGACCAACCTGGTCAAAATAGGACCTAGGAACAGTAATGACTTGCAAGGTGATTGCTGCTGATTGCACATGCAAGTTTTTGCTGGTAGACAGGGTAAGAAGGAAGAAGGAGAGTTTGTGTGTGCACATTGTATCGTAACAGAGGAAGTTTATGTTACGTTCCATATTCTGCAAAGTCACTTAAAGCAAGCCCACAGTGCTAGTGCTGGCGTGTGTGCTGCCCAGCCAGAGGTTACTCAGTAAAGCCCTGTCTCCACCCTGGGTGTGCACAGACCACTGGGTCTAGCTGGCCATTTGGAAACTCCGAGAGTGCTTTTGTGCTCTGACTCTATAACATATATTGGAAATCCCGATTGGTTTTTAAAGCAAAAAAACCTACATAAATAAATGTATTCTCCATGCACACGCTTTAGGACAGAGGAGAAAGAAAAATCTGAATTTGACATACAGTCATAATTGTACATTCATTCTGAGGATGGGCGACTAGACAAAGCCACTATTTTATTTGGCTGAGTAAAGCTTTGAAAGGTAAACGGTGCATGTATGGAACACTGAACTCTTTTCATATCAGTATTTTTTGGGTAAGTGCCATTTAAGTCGATGTAAGAATCCTTAAAAAGTGCAAATCCACTCTTTAGGTTTCTTACACAGTTGGCTCTATATATGGGATATATTTGTGTACTTAGATAGAAAGTCATATTTAAATAATTTGTTTTAGGCTAGTCATTAACTATGAAAAACCCAATTCATGTTAAAAATTCAGTTCTCTTCCCACAGAAATTCAATGATGTCACTCTTGTTTTATTGCATATCAGTAAATTATGAATCAATTGCGCTCATTTTAGCAATAAAGGCTGTTTTTTAAGACAATGAGATTATACAGAGGCTTTCAGAATTCTATTTAGTCAACAATTAGGTTGATGTTTGAGTCAGAAGGTGATTCAGCTCACTTTTTTAGAGTGTGGGTTCTGCATGGCCAATGGGATACAAATCTTGCATATTTATTTCAAGAAGGAGAGCAGATAGGAGATTCTGCGCGGCTGGAGCAGGCCTGCTGGGAAAGAAAGGATTGTCCTATCTGGTATACCTGGCGGTTTTCCATAATCGCTTTTCAAGGTAAACTTGTGCAGCTACTGCAAATTTAATTACATCAAAAGTACCTTTTTGTGCTTCTGACTGCTATTGACTTCCTAAAGATGGAGTCTAGCACACACCTATTGTCCATATCCACCTGTCTCAAGACCAACATATTTCACTTCATAGGACTTAATGCTCTTTGAATACATCTTGTTTGCTGTAGGCAAGATTTAAAATGTTACCCCCACTCCCAGCTTCTGCTTCTAAAGGCAAGAATTTAAAAACTACCTCTGTGCTCTACCTGGAAGGTTGCCTGGGCACTGGAGTTGAATTCAGTAGCTACTCAAGACTTCATGTATAACCAGGAATACACTCTGTGCAGTGTGTTGTTATGAGAAAGCCATATCTACTGTAGAATGTCAAAACTTGATTAAGTTGTGGGGAAGAAGGAAGCGATGTACTATAAGTCATTCATACAGAATCATTTGTAGAGCATTTTATGTCAGCTATAACAGTCTAGCGGGTGCTAGCAGAATATAAAACTCCTGATCAAAAGAAGAGGACTCTTTGTTAAGAGGCTTTATTATTGCAATATCTATTAAGGTTAAGTAAATATATCTATTCTAGTCCCATAGTTTTCACTTGGTAAAGAAAACCTTTTATCGTATAAGCTGAAATTTTCTGCTCTGTCCTTACCAGAACGTGGTTTGTGTGGAGCTCTTTACTCTGGTCTTGCTATGTAGAGGAATGTGCCTTCAACTGAACTGTTTCACTATCAGTTTCTCAATCTCACAAATTAAAATTGGAAAGTAATCTTTAAATACAGGTTTCTTTCCCCACTGCCCTTGGGGTGGAGGGGGGGAAATCCACTTTTGTTTGCTTTTTTGGCATTCTTTCCAATCTGAAGGTTCGCTGTTTCAATGTCTTGGTGCTATTTTTGCTGTCCTTCCAGTGGCTTGAGTTCACCAGAGTGCACCCAAACATTAAGGCTTAAAGAGCAAGTCCAACCACTGTGTCTTTCCTCATAGGACTTTTTCATGCAAAATTTCTGCAAGCCATAGTTGTTGCTGTAACTAAGGATGTGAGCTAAGATACAGGGGTACTGGAGAATGCGACCTGACCAACATGGTAGTGGATCTTTGCAGAGCCAGATTGTAGCATGGCAAATCTCGTGCTCTGATTCAGCTGGGAGAGCTGATACTGAGATCCAAGCAGCCACGTAGTGCAAGTAAGACTCCGCTTGTTAGGCGGAACTTCCAATGAGAAGCTGTTTCCTGCTTTTGATCAGGAAGAGTATTTTTCAGACAGTCCCAAGGCTGATGGCTGTTAAACTAAGGCGCAGTGTTTATTGGACCCAACTCTTAGTTTGGGGTTACAATCATGACACTATCTTTTGCCAAGGGATGTAGAACTGCTCTTAGGCCCTGCCCGGTCTGTTGGGTTTGTCCATGCTGCCCCTCTCAGGTGTATTGATTTTCACTGCTTCTGTAGGAGAACAGAGAATGTCCCTGTCTCCATAGCCCTTACCTGGTGACTAAAGCACTGCCACAGGGTGGGAGCATGAAAAACACTACTTTTAAAATGGAGCTTAATTAGCTTATGGAAGGGATTAGAGGAGAGAGGGCTGTAAGGACTGGTGTCTGCGTCCCTGGTATTGCAGGCTCGATGTTCCTAATTCAGCTTAATGTAATCTGGTGTCTGACTGGATAACCTTGTTACACTGATGCAGTGCTGCCAACCCTTAGAGCCTCCCTTTCCCCCCCCCCTTCTGGAATAGTGGAAACTGGCAGAGAAGGTGCAAGATCAGTGAAAAGCTAGAGTAATGACAGCATGGGACTGCAAGGCTTGCTACATTATGGATGGAAGAGGACCAGCATATGCATTGTAATGCTAAAAATATTCCCTGTGATGTGGGAGAGCGACACTAGCCACGTGGTGGCTTTGATTTGTTCTGGTAACGTGCTCTCTTGGGGATGTCGGAGTGCAGGATGAGGCTCCAATGTGGTGACAGAGACACAGAATTCAAAAGTGTGTAGGCATGATCTGCATAGCTCTGTGTGTGGGGCAGAAGCAGATTTGAAAGTCACAGGATTAATGACAACGAAGTGGGCAGGAATTGGAGGTGAAAAGGAAAAGGTGGGAACAAGTTCTAGTGCCTAGGAATCATGTCAGCTGGGATGGGGGCAGCACTCTCTCTCTGGAGGGCTCAGACACCTTCCTTCTGGGCTGTTTTGAGGAAGGCACTGCTTTGACACGCGTATAGACAAATAAAAGACTATCCAGAAAAAGGCCAAAACAGCTGCTGATGGTATAAGGTACAGATAGTGTGTAAGTGGAAAAATTAAATGCGTGCTGCCTCACAGACCTGCATGCTACAAACTAAGGAGCGTGCAGAGCAGAGGAAGAAACTACTCAGTGTATTGTATTTGTATCATATAGGAGGAAGACAGAGAATATGGGGGGACGGGCGGGGAGTTTCCTGGTGAGATCTATCAGACAGTGGGTACACTTTGAAAGGAATTAGCTGACATGCCATCACTTTGGCCTTGTTTTCCTGCTTTAGGAAAGTTATTCCTGCTTTAAATTGCTGGTATTGGACATGCCTCGTGATGATCAGGAGTGAGTTTATCTTCCCTTCTTGCTTTTGTCCTAGGTCCAACACGAAAAATGCCCCTGACTGCCAGTGCCATGGACTTTTTTCAACTCTTTGTCCCTGACAATGTACTAAAGAATATGGTGGTCCAAACCAACATGTATGCCAAGAAGTACCAGGAGAGGTTCGGTAGTGACGATGCCTGGATTGACGTCACCTTGACAGAAATGAAGGCCTTCTTAGGCTACATGATATCAACAAGCATCCACCACTGTGAGTCTGTTCTTAGCATCTGGAGCAGTGGCTTCTACAGCAACAAGAGCATTGCACTTATCATGACACAATCACGGTTTGAGAAGATCTTGAAGTACTTCCACATTGTGGCCTTCCGCTCAAGCCAGACAACGCATGGCCTCTACAAAATCCAGCCTTTTCTGGACTCTCTGCAGAATGGTTTTGACTCTGCTTTTAGACCTTCGCAAGCCCAGGTAAGAGTTAACCTGTTGGCAGGGAACATCCAACCTACGTGCTTTAGGTTGTCTTGCTATGACTGAAAGCACAGAGCACAGCTGCCTGAAGAAAGAGCTGGGGCTTCACAGCGTGAAGCCATGCTGCGGTGCCTCCATGAAGCATGAGAGAAAGCAGCACTGTCCTGTGCGAGTGCTCAGCAACGTCTGACTTATAGCTCTGCAGTGCAGGTACCTGGCATGTTTCAATAGGAATGATGCTCTCTGAGCTGGGGCTATTTGCTTTCATGGTCTAAACAAGCCCGGAGACTTGTCGGTGAGGTTGGCACCACTAGGTTTTGCTGTCCTGAGGATGGGAGGTTGCAGGTTGCTCCTGTGAGGGAGAGTGGAAAGGGCAGAGCCAGTGCAGCTGGGCCGGAGGGAAAACCTGTAGCTCCTCCTGCTACAGGCTGAGGGTTGGATGCAAGAGCTGAGTTTGCTAGGAGTCCCTGACCTTAGCAGTAGGTGCTTGCCATATAGTCTAGCAGCACAGCTACCTCCTTACGACTGGGCAAAGGGAAAATAAGAGGGGAGCAGGTGCCTTTGCTTGCTGTGGTTGTCAGCTGCCCTCAGCAGCACTGCCCGTGCCTTGTGCCAGTCCTGGTTTTTAATGATGGGTGATGCTCCTATGGAAAAACTTATTGATGTGTGGATTTGCAACCTAAGTGCCAGTGAACTGGAAATGTTTCTAGACTACCAGGAATAAAAGTAAACAGGACTCCAGTGAATTTTCATTTCCAGATACAATTACGGGTACAGCAGAATGCCATTCTGTAGGGAGGCTGCTCCGTAGACTGGGCAGGCAATGGGAGGAACTAAATATAGAAACTTATGTAGCTGGTGGTTGTCTGTCTGACTACAGCTGTACAGTTGAACTTCTTTTTTAAAAGTGCAAAGAAATCTTTTCTTAATATTCGTCATATACTATTTAAACTTTGTTCCAGTAGAAATGATCTCCTTTTGGAGCTGTTGTTACTGGTCGCGTTCAGACGTCTGGAAAGATAAAGGAATAAACATGAAATATGTTACTGCTCGAAATAACTTTTCGATCAACTCTCGTTTTCAGAATATAAAGATTTCACCTAGACATTTGGAAAGGGCGTTGTGTCCATCGTCCTCTCTTTCTTTCTGTTTCTTGTCTGAAGCATCACATTTTTGCCCACTGCACAAAATTAATTAAGACATAGGTGCATCACATCCGTTGGAGTGTGCCTAAAATAAATCGGGAGTAATTACAGGGTTTTTTTTTTCTATTTTATAGACAATAAAAATCATACCTGTATAATCCAGGACAACATAGCTGTCTAAAAAGCTGTTACAGTAGAGAAGGGAGGAGTGTTCTCACTAAGTCATGCCAGCAAGGTGCATTTCCATCAAGACAAAACAGGCAGTGAGAAACACGGTATTGTTGGGACCGAACTCTCATTAAGATATGAAATCTAATCCTTATGGCCACTGACTTTAATGGCCGGAAGATAAAGGCTTCAGAAATGTGATCACTGTGTCTAATGTAAATGCTTATAATGGTGTGCTGTGGGACATGCTGTGAGTGCAAATCCATTAAAGGATAAAATTTAATTTGCATGTATATCCCTTCTCCCATCCCCCTTCCTGAGCAAGGTTTGAGAACTGAATTGACAAAATTATAGTGTCCTATTTGCAGTGGCAAAAGATCTAAATCTCCACGAACAAAATGCATGGTTGTGTTGAGCTTGGTAAGGAGATGCTACTTTAAAAAAAAAAAAGGGGGGGGGGGGAAGTAGTGACAGCCCAATTCTCTTCCTTCACCTTCCACTTCTCTGCTCCCTTGTCAGTGTTTACGTCAGTGATTTCTATACAGCATGTTTCAATGGTATTGAGCAGAACAAAAAGGACTAAAATACAGCATCAAAAATAACTCTGAGAAAGAAAAAGGTTTTTGAATCTGTTGTTAAAAATACTCTAGTGTAGCGCCGGTAGCCTACTGGGGGATGTTCCAGGCCTCCTCCTGAAAGGAGCCTTGTGCCCAACGTCCTCCTGGGTGCCATCAGGCAGGGCTGCACACTACCTGTCTCAAGAGACGTGGACCCCATCTGCTCAAAGCAGCAGGAGAGACCTCTCCCTGGAAATTGTCTTGAGTGCAGATTAGCAGACAGCAGTAAACATCACACCCAGAATGTCAGGCCCAGTGAGAAATAATAGAAATAATGAAAAATAATAACCCAGTTGCACAGAAACAAAGGGAAAAGACAAGGGGAAAGACCCATTCGGATGGGCTTTTGGATGTGCTGCCTCTTAAACATGACACTTGTGGTATCTGTGTGGCTTGTACCTGGGCTGCGATCTATGCTCAAGCTTTAGGCTGACATCGTGTACGTGGCATCAAGCAGAGGAATGACTTGGGCTCCTTGCTGTTGAATGCAGCAAGGATGTTTGGACTCATAGGTAGACTTGTTACTGACTTTCTTCCTCTGTCAGTGTGGGCTCGCAGAACACGGGTTGGGAAGATGCCATGTTTAACTCACCCCTATGGACAGAGCAGACAGTCTGCATCCAGCAGGCAGTGCAACATCTGCCTTCACAGTTATTTCTTCTATAGATTTGATGTTTTCTTTTTGGAGAGCTAGAAAAGATTCTTCAAGTGGTATTTTTGTCAGAAAATACTTAGGGTTTTTTTTTCTCATATGTAAACCCCCCCCAAATGTGCATGCAAAAATGACACCACAGTTTCTATGAAAGGAAACAAGAGGGAGAGAGAACTAGGCCAATATGCCAAAACAAAGAAAACAATCTAATCTAGTGAATTATAATTATTTTGCTAAATATACTCAGCAAACAAAAGAAAATAATTACTCTGTAGCTTATGAAGATATTGAAAGCCCAGAACATTGTAATTGTGTATCAGCAGCGCTAGCTTCAATTTCCAAAGTAAAAAAAAAAAAGCTGTTCTGACCTAGATTGGATAGGAATGACAGAAATATTCTCTGCATCCTATCTCTCCCCAACATCTTCCATATAAATAACTGCTGCCTCTACCTGAGCAACGAGAGGTGGAGTTTTGGGTCTGTTCCTGGAATCAGTGTTGTCTCTTTGCTGCTTAGCTTTGTAGCTATGCTACTGTCTACAAGTGGAAGCCTGAAGACAGGGAGGATGCCCTGCCTGAGCTCAGGATGTGTACTGCAACAATTTCAAGGGTACTCACCTGCCAAGGATATACACTGAACTCCAGAAACCAGAGGAGCTCAGGAAAATAACATCACTGCTCAAATATCCTTCTGTGCCTGCTGAGTATTTATATGCTTGTCAGCAGGATGCGACTAGACAGGATTGCTGTCTCTGGCTGCCCCTGACTGGCATGGGAGAGGTCAGGAGCACAACTCCAGGCCCTCTCCTCATCCCTCTCCCTCCAAAGTACCTTCTCTTTGGCATCTTGGAACCAAACAGTTCTGCATCTCCCCAGTGAGATGGCAGCTGGGAACAGTCGGCTTAAGTCCTTACCTCAGGCAGGAGTGAACTCCCTGGCAAAAAGAGAGATGTAACTCCAACCTCTTGCTCCAAGGGCATGGTGCTAAAGTCTGGCCGGGGGCTTGTTTGTGTTTCGCTCTTGGTGGTATCATAGGGTGCAGCTAAGCAGTTTCAACATAGTTCTTCCAAACCAGCTCACAGCATTAGGTGACAGCTTCTTTGAAAACAGAGGGGCAAAACCTGGCTGATCACCTTGTAGCTCTTTTGTGTCCTCATGATTAAATGATTTGGTATTGGGCATTTCTGAATTATAAGATCTTGCTCAAGTCATACCTCTATATCTCAGTTTTCCTGTTTTCAAAATGATTCTTCGTGAGTAAGGGTGCTGGTCCCAAACCAGGACTGTTCTGTCTTACGGCTTCTGTGAGTGTAACGTGAAGACGTAAGTATTCAGAGGACGTTGGCCAAGTATAAGACATGGAGCAAGAGAAAGACAGACAGAGGAGCAATAAGAATATTGACTAGCAAGGTAAATTTCGTACGTCCTGTAGCTCTTGGCCAGTTGATCCTCTGGTGAAGCCAGATTTTAGGAAGAGTTTGACAGCAGAAAATGATGAACCTTTATGGCTATTTTTAAATTACCTAATGGTAATAGAGTGCTGTAAGAATTGATTTTTTTTTTTCTTTAAAGAGAGTCAGTTGAAGACTGAACAAATGGGCAGAGGAGTGTGAAATCATGGCTCCATCGGAGGTGGGAGTTAACTTTTGAATGATGGCAAAGAGGATCAGTTAAATATGGATAGGCCAGACAGGACTTTGAAAGTGAAGAGAAAGAATCTGTCTAATGTATTGGAGAAGAGCTATCAGAGAGAAATAAAGTGATGTGGCCAGTGTGATGGACTAGTAGAATGGCTTTCCAGCAGCAATCTGTAGGGCAGGACTGCCTTATGTTGGGGCCAAAAGGAAAACTTGCAGGATGGCTGTGGGCTTGGATGAAAACTTGACTGGATGGGTAGGTTGTTACTCTAAAATGAGTAATATTTTACAGCTGTTACTCAGAAAGCGTGGAAAATGCAGGCACTGCCTGGCTCAGAAGACCTTGCAAGGAGTTGGAGGTAAAGGCTGACATTCAGATTCACTGGCTAGTGAGATCTGCAGCAGGAGGAGAGGGATGTCTGCAATGACCAAAAAAGGAGATAGTAAGGGGTTATCTTAAGGGGAAGGAGATGCTCTCAAATGCAGCGTAATAAAATCAGGACAGCTAGATATGCAAGCAGAGATGTCATACTAGCAGAGAATTTATTTTAGACCAGAGGAGCTTTGGAGCAAAGAAGCAGAAGCACAAGCTATTATTGCAGAAGCAATGGTTGAATCTGTGCATACAGGTGCAGTTACCCAGGGGACTCTGTTTGCAGCTGGATAGTACCCAGCAAAAACCAGAGACAAGGCAAGCTGAGGCAGTTCCTCCAGGAGACAGGCTGAAGAGACAGCCTATGTTGGGGATAGACACGGAGCTAAGAGAAGATGAGTGACCTCAAGGACACATTGGTTCGTTATCTAAGACAATGGAGTCCAGGAAGTCCAAGTACAAAAGAGGTAGTGGCTCTGGGCTTTGCCTACAAGCCGATTTAGGCTGTGGTGAGAGCAGGATGGGTGGAACAGTGGAGTGGAAAGAGCTTTGGAGATGATCTAAAATGGAGAAGAAAGAAAGGCACTCCTGACAGTGGCTAGCTGTTTCATTCAGTGAATGAAAGATGTCGTGAGATGGAGCAATTGCTGGAGAGGCAAGACTCCAACATGGGACTCCCACACTTGGAGTGCATGTACATATTGAGGGGAAAACAAAGAGTGAAAGTTTGGCAAGAAGATATAGCAGGGATGAGGATGGCTATGAAGAAGAGGGAAAAAAAACAACCCAATGGGATAGCTGTGGGTGAGCGAAGCAACTAGATGAGGAGCTTCTTAGAGCTGAAGAAAACTGGGGATTTGAGAGAAGGAAATGAGGATGATTTCTATGAAGAAATCCACAAGTTATCTGCATCAAAGGAAGTCAGAATAGGAAGAGGGAAGGGCTTGGGGAGTGAGTCAAAGATGGTGAAGAGGTGGCCAGGAATACGTGTAGGAGTCAAGCCTGAAAGTAGATTTTTATCTAGGAAGATCAGAAGCAGGAAAGAATATGCTATGGGGGCAGTAAGCTCACTCCGAATGGGGAAGGAGCAAATACCACTCTGCATGGGGATTTGGCAGAGATGGATTTGAGATTACAGGAGGAGCAAAGAGACTGAGAATGGAGGAGGGTGAACAAACTAATAGGACTGGCCAGTGGCAACAGGGTTAACTTTTGTCGTAAGAAAACCATGTCAGTGCCAGAAGCAACAAATTGCCCCCTTTGAAAATGAGACGGGGATCAGCTGTTCCAGCAGCAGGCACAGCCCATACAGTGCCTTGCTTGCAAAGTCCTTTACAGCTGTTGAGCAATGGTTGCATATGGAGGAGGGATAATACTTGCCTCTCCAGCCTCTCTGGAGGAAGCAAGAAGAGCAAGCTCCAGGGCTCTCATTTCAGTTTCCCTGTCTGTCCACATTCTGCCTTTGCAGCAACAGCAAATCTTGCCCTACTCTGTTTCCATTTTTGTTCCCTCTTCCCAGCAGTTCAGTAGGGAACTTGGTGGAGCATTAGTCTTCTTATGGAGAAATAGGAATGACTTAAACATTCGGGACAGGGGAAAGGAGGGGAAGCTCTGGGTCCTAGGGGAAGGCAGGGCTGAGCGTGGGCAGGGAGAAAAGGAAGATGGGGAGAGGTTTTCAAAATTCAGATTTGCTTTCTAAATTTAAGACTGACAGGCCTTACTGTGTCTTAGAAGGCAGAAAGAGCGTGAAGGGTAAGCAGGATGCCGTAGAGCTGCTGTGAGGACAGCTGATGCTGTGCTGCAGAGGAGGGAGCTGAGCTAATGACAGAGGGTAAAAAAATGTTCTCAAGTGATGCTTATACAGCCTTTTCTTTCTGCTGCTCTCCATCCTACAGTTGAACCACAGCTCTCAGTGGGATCTGGCAGGTAAGAGGGCCTTTCCAGAAGCTGAGGAATTCTTAAACAGTGTATCCAACCTCATCCCAAGGGATGTGGTCTTCCCTTCTGCACAGAAGAGGCAGAAAGGCAAAAGCAAATGAGGGCATGTGTAATGTTTGCAAAACACTGTCAGAATTCCCTGAGGTGGAAGTGTGAAATGCCCCAGGTGGTCTTCAGCAAGGAGGAGCGGTGTTTTGTGTGGACCTTGAGAGAGGAAGAGGATTTGGCTCCAGTGGGGAAACGGGGCAGCTGCAGCTTTAAGAACAAATAGCTTTGTGTGCAGCTCTCCTTGCTCACATCTGCATTTTGGTGTATAATTTGAACATTTCACAAGAGTGCTTTCAGATGGTCCTGTGAATGTTTTATGAGCCGTTAAGAAGTGGAGTGCGTATAAATGAAAGTCTGCAGCCACCACTGCGTGGGGAGGGCATGGGTGCCTATTTTGGGCTGACAGAGTGATGTTCAACAAACGTCTTGTATTCAAGAGGCCAGCAGCTGCTCATCACTGGTACTTAACTGCTTACCCACCACATCTCTCCTATGAGCATCACTCCCAGGTTTAATGCAGCTTTGTTCTCATTTCTGCCACTGGCTGCATGCAGATGTACACAAAAGTAGCACACATGCAGATGTGGAAAGGGTCAGTCTGAGGGTGAGAGCCTCTGCATTGTGAATACCTGTATCTGAGCCTGTCTCCTGGCACGATGGTCACTGGAAAAGTATGGGCTCCTTTAGATCATAACGCATCTGATTTATTTTACACGGGTCTTTAAAAGGGTATGAATTATGGCCTGCTGGGACTGCTTTCCTCTCGTGTGCTAGGAGGGGAGCCTGCAGCGACTTGCTCTGATTTAGTTGTAGATGTCTGAATTTGGTCAGCATTCATCAGCTGAGACCTTTCAACAGCTTCCAAGCATTTGTACTCTGACAAGTGACTTGCTAGACAACACAGGCACCGTGCAGTCAGGGATGTGTATGTTATGCACAGCTACCTGTGAGCTGCAAGAAGGTGGTAGTGCTTTTCTATAGGTGGGTTCTGTAGTGTAAAACCTAACGACTTTGCTGCAGAATTAATGGAGAGAAGTGTAACAAAACAGCTATAAGGAACGGGGAACCACTTACATCATCTGGATGCAGAAGGCAGAAATTGCTTCACTTTCATGGATTTTCAGTACCTGCTTCAGTTTGCCTTGTCTTTTCTGTTCCTGCCTCTGGTCCTTTATCTTTGTCTCCTTTTGTCAAATTTTTCAAGAGAGGCTTCCCTGAAGCTGCTGCCACCAGGAAAAATGTCTTCTATCTCTTTACCACCTCCTTAAGTGGCAGCAGAAAATTTCTTTTTCTCCCTTAACTTCTCTCCCTCTTTGCCATGTGTTGTCCTTTGCTGTAACCAAGGAGTGTAACTTACAACATATTGTAGGGGGTGTTTGGGGGGAAGACATTCTGCCAAACAAGATAAAGCTGATGATGAAGCTTGGAGAAGGATGCTGCTAACAGTCCTCACCCTACCACGCCCCACCTCATTTTGGACGGATGTTGAACTGTAGCTGATAGTGAGAGATAGAGGCCCCATTTTGAAGGGATGTTAAACTGTAGCTGATAGCGAGGGGTGAGAGCCATGCCTTGCAGTGTTTGCAAACCTCATGTAGAGCAGCCATCCACAATGGAGTGTGCTTGGCCAGGCTTTGGTTTTTGTTGGGTGGTAGCATTGAACAAAAGTGGGTTTGCTCCTTTGTGTGAGGTGATGCGCACAAACACAATGCAAGGATTTTATTTCCTTGGAAGAATTTAAAGCACCGTTTTTTTCAGCAATCGTGCTCTTCTGTTTCTCCCTGTCCCCCCTTTTCTTGCCAATTGCAGGTACTACATGAGCCCCTGATTGATGAGGATCCTGTTTTCATTGCCACATGCACAGAGAGGGAGCTGCGCAAGAGGAAAAAGAGGAAATTCAGTCTCTGGGTTCGGCAGTGCTCATCCACTGGTTTCATCTGCCAGGTGGGTTTTACTTCTTCAGATGTCTTGATTCAGTGCCAGCAAGCCCTTAAATGTATTGCCGGACCAAAGGTAACAGTCACTTCTTGCCTTGCCGGGGGCTACAATCTGAATGCACCAGGCCTCTGCCTCCCACAGATACTAGGTCCGATGGAAGGTGATGACAAGTTTCTGGTGCTCTGTCTGCTGTATGATTTAACTGAGGGTGCCTGTCTCTAATACTGTCCATCTGGCTGCCAGCCCTAAGCTAATTAAATTGAAGTGGTGTTAAAAGGTCTGTCTGTTTGTACATCCTAAGTTTATCTAAATGTCTAGGTACTGTGACTTCTGTCATTTTTAATGAGTCAGCTTCTCTCTCTAAGTATAACGCTGCATCTGTGATAGCCAGCGGTGTCCAATAGACTAAATCAATATGGTATCAAGATGTCCATTTTTCTGTGAGAAACGTTAGTGGAGTTGCCCATTACATCTCTTTCACACCTCTACTTCTCTACCAAAGAAATAAAATTGGATGTGAATTCAAGGTGTGGTATGGGCTTGAGTGGGAGACATATTAAAGGGTTTGTTTTTAGTGTTGCAAAGCATTGGGGATAACTTCTCAAATTCTCAGATTCCCCAATTGCTAATGTATTTTGAGAGCTCTTGAAAAATCTGGCTGTTTATTTTGATACCTAGAGGTGAGTAGGCAGATATTTTCTGATATTTCTTTTTCCCACAAGCTTCTGTGAAAATGTGGTGTCCTGCATGTTCCAGAGCAGCGGTTCGAAGGTGCAGGTAGGACATGCACACTGCCTGCTCAGGCTGAATGCATGTCAAAACTGAAGGGTCTGTGGATTTGCTGCAGTTGAACATTCATTCACAGTAAAATTTGATCCGTGAATCACTACAACTGTTTGAGTAGCTATGCAAGAATGAGGCTCGCTGGGAACAGGGGTTTGCATTTTCAGCAATGCTATTCACTCTAAGAAAATTGGGATCATACATCTTCTATCCAGGTTTTAAAGCAGTTGTTTTGTCTGATACAAACTAGATTCACCTTGTGAAGCATCCTTGGAAGTTTCCGCTCTCAAGGCTTTTGGAAAGTCATTTGCTACACAGAGGCAGTGTCCTTAATCTCCAGGGTGAACTCCACCAGTCCCACATGCAGCTTACTGCTGAAGCGTAATGGGTACAATGAGCACAAAGTTTGCTGATCTCTCTTGCTGTGCTCCCCCAGCCAACTGCCACCAAACTAATAAGTCTTCAGACATGCCAGAGGTTTCAGATTCTGAGCTATAATTACATTGCACCTCCCATCCTGTCCATTGAGACCGTAAATTAATGGAATGTCAAATCAAACAGAACAGATGCTCAGCACCACCCTAATCCTCCTGCTCCCTTCATGAATGAGATACTCATGCTTCACTTGCATCCGAATGACGTCCAGGATCATCTTACTAGCTGCCTTCTATTTTCATTCCATAGCTTGGCTGTAATTATCATCATGCTAAAATGATTGGGTGAGAGGGACCTTAGGGAAGGGTGAAAAAAGAATATACAGGAACATGAACATTCATGCTAAAATGGAAAAACCTAGTCTGGGAAGGATGGGGATCTTCAGCTATGGTATGCTTGAAATGCCGTGTTCAGTTGTGTCATGCTTACGAGGGATCTTGTAGAATCCAAAGCACTTATTTGGTGGTTATTTGGTTTATTTACTGTATTAAAACAGAGGGATGTTTTTTCTGTGTTTAACGTGTGGAGAGAATTGATCTACACAAGAAAAAAATCCAATGGTTTCCCCCTTCATGTGCACACTTTCCCCTCCATCTCTTGTGAAACTGCCATTGTGAAGGAAAGACTTGTTGCCTGATAGGTAAGGACTGACTGGTCTAAGACTTGTCTGCTGTCAGAAAAACCTTACAGCACCCACTTGGAAATATGTAGAAATTCTGTATTACTGTCTAGATGAATTCCCTCCCTCATTGTTTCCACATGATGACATCGAGGTCATTTTATTCAGGATAAAGTATGACTATAAACACATCATAAATCAAGCTAATTGTTTCAAAAGTCTGAATAATATATATCTATAAAAAGATGAGGCAGCCCAGGTAGAAGAGGGAAGTGAACTACATATGACTGGCTCTCAAGAATCAAGAAGGAACCTCAAGAGTTCTGTGATGCTCCTGGCCAAAAGCAAGGTCCTCTAAACCTGAATGATGAGCCTAATGTTAAAAAATCTCCATTTGCGGACATCCCAGTTTTCAGTGATCTGCTTTTCCTGCAATGAAAAGACTTGGTTGGTCTGTTTTCCTAATGTAAAATTGGTGTCAGTGTTTTGAAGCCACATGCTGAGCTACTCTGTGAACAACTCCTGGTTGGCAGCTCACAGGGCAGTTGTTATTGTTAGGAGTTTTAGCTGTGTGACTCCCCAAATTCTTCTGGCTGCTTGTTCTCATGAACAAAACTCTGAATCACTTTTTTGGGTGTGAGTAAATACTTCTGTTTGATGGCTCATCGTTTGCTTTTTTTTTTTTTTTTTAAGCAAATGGTGTTTGTTTAAAAATCCAGCCCAATAAGCCATTCATGGAACAGAAGTGGCATAAAAATGAAATATTGCTTGTGGATATAAGAAGGTTCACAGGCTTATATATGCATAATGTAAGTTATGTATATGTATTACACTACTTTTCTGTCTTCTGTAATGCAGAAAACCTGACTCCACCCTGACAGTTAAGTCTCTGTTTTAAGATGGATGCACAATTTCAAATCATATCTGTGCTTCAGAATTTCACAAGCAAAGCATCTTGTTGCAGTGAATAGCTTTGTTGCCAAGTATCTTTTCACGGTCAGCTGGCCAAGTGGGAACATGCAAGAAGGACACATCATTCAAACAAAGTCAGTATATGTCTACAGCAGCTGGGAACATGAACAAAACCTTCCAGAGGGTTAGAAGGGCTCCAGGAGAGCTGACTTTGGTGAAGTAGGCAGTAAAACTGCCCTGATACTGTTGCCTTTTTCACCCATCCTTGATGCCGGACATCAAGATAGCAGCAGCTGCTGCTGCAGGAGAAGGCTTGAGCCTTCTCGTTTCTTTCTTTCTAATTCAATGAGAACAGTAAACGCAGCTTGCAGGACCTTAGGTGTCCCTCTCTGCTCCATCATCTCTTTGCTTTCCTAATTTCCCCAGTATTTTT